GCTGTAAGACTGCCCTTGACCTTTCCCCTGTAAGCAATTTGGCACGGCTTCTAAGTAAAAATATATAAAACTTGCACACTAAACACATACCGGAATTTAGATGAAAGCTCACAGGTTCATGCAAGGTCAAATTATGTATCTGTTAATTAGAATTTGGTTTAGATTTTATAGAAAACGAATAAATTCTGGGGAATAGTTACAAGGTTGCAGCTAGCATAAAAGGGGTGATTAAATCTTGTTTTTTGCAGTCTTGACAAGAATACATTCCTTGAAGCTACTATTTTTCTTAAGAAATCTACTGTATGCTATAGTCAATAAAGGGTTGGCCCAGGCTGAGGAAACCTAGTTTGAAATCCATCCTTAACTTTGGAAGTGTCCTGAGAAACCTCAGGCTACTCACATTCCTCAGTCTAATCAACTTCATGGATTTTTGAGGGGAAAACATGGACAAGGGAGTTCTATAATTGTTGTTTCAAAGAAAGATGGATAGAAATACATCCATGCATTTAACTTAAACACTGATTTTCCTGAGTATTGAGGAAAGATGACTCATGAAGATAATCTAATAATGTATTTCAATAGGGGTTCATTTTTATTATTATTTTAAACAATCAGAATTCAAAAGTATGTTCCTAATCTTCATGGTAGCCTATTTTGTTTATCTCTACAGTTCCAAGGTAATGAAATATTGAATCAATGAGTTTACATTTGATTTTATAGGCTATAACTAGTCCTTGATTTACAATAGTTCAGTTAGTGACCATTCAAAGTTACAATGGCAGTGAAAAAAGTGAATTATGACCATTTTTTCACACTTACAATTGTTGCAGCAGGGTGACATGATCAAAATTCAGATCTTTGGCAACTGGTTCATATTTATGACGGTTGCAGTGTCCCGGGGTCATGTGATCAGCTTTTGAAACCTTCTGACAAGCAAAGTCAATGTGGAAGCCATTCACCAAACAACCATGTTACTAACTTAACAAATGCAATGATTCACTTAATGACTATGGCAGGAAAATAGCGTAAATTCACTTAACAACTGTTCCACTTAGCAACATCAATTTTTGGCTCAATTGTCATCATAAATTGAGGATTTCCTGTACATATGTGGCTAATACCTGTCGTATTTCATCTGAAAACTTAATTATAAATGCATTTATAATTATATCAAAGTGGTAGATTTTCTCAGCACTGGTTTTGTTTTAAATCATAAAATATGTAGATGCTATTATTAGTAGCACAGTATTAATGCTGCAGTAAATTAATATTAGACCACATGGTCCTCTAATTCCACCCATTCCCTGTGCCCAAGTGAGGGCATTTTTCTAAATAACTTCTTTGTGTGAAATCCTTTGTATAATGTGTCCATTTTTCTTCATTGGGCTCTTGGTATCATATTCTTTCCAAATGCTTTATCCATCCATTCGTTTTTGGCAGCTGCCACCCAATGTCTGGAGTGTGCTTTTGCAAGCCTGGCTGGTCTGGTCTCTCTTGCAATGAAAGCTGTTCTCCAGGATTCTTTGGTGAATCTTGTCAACAAATCTGCAGTTGCCGAAATGGTGCTGACTGTGACAGTGTGACTGGAAAATGCACGTGTGCTCCAGGATTTAAGGTAACTGGCTCTGATTGTTATTTCATTGGTTGTCTGCCTTTGAAGATAGAAGCAACTTCCATAGTCCCTATTGGGATTCTGACATTCCATCAGAAGAGGTGCTTCAAAATACGCAGGGATGCAATTAAGACAACNTCTATCTATCTATCTATCTATCTATCTATCAAAGCGAAATGCCACTCACGCAACATCATGAAATCTCCAGAACTGTAAAACTGAAATTTGGCATGTATGTTCCTTTTGGCTTCTAGGTGCTCGCTAAGAAAGGATTTTTCGAAATGACCATCAGATCATCAATATATTTATTATATCATTATAATATATTATTATTAACACTCTCTGATACTAAGGTGTTAGACATTCTACTCTCCCTCCCAACCCAAAAATAACTCTGTTCCAACTACCACTTGGGCATGGCCAGTGCGTGACTCATCCGGCCTGCGGGCTGGGAGTTTGGAGAGGAGCCTGAGGGAGAGAAGGAAATAAGATAGGAGAGGCCTCTGTGGGGCAAGCCTGAGGAAGAGAAGGGGAAAGGAGAGGCCTCTATGGGTCATGCCTGAGAGAGAGAAGGGGAGAGGAGAGGATTCTGTGGGGCAAGCCTGAGGAGGGAAGAGGGGAGGAGAGGCCAATTGTAACTAATCATTAATTTTCAAACTGTAAGTGTCGATTTATCAAGTCCAATCACATAGTTTCATAGCGGAGCACAGGTATTCAGCTAGTAGGATATAAATCAGAATGCAAAATTAGAATTCCAACAGCTGTGCATGTTTCAAAAATGATTACAAATGCATCAAACTTGCATGGATATAGCACCTTTCTATTCATTTAAGCAGTTTGATCTTTTTAGGCTTCTGCATGAATCCCCTCCTTCCCAACTCAAAGTGTCAATGCTTTAAGAGTCACAATTGACTTGAATGAGTGGATTACACAGAAGCATGGAGAAAGTGAAGTTGCTTTTAAGAATTACAGGAAGCGCTGCAGCCATACTTTTGATGTTCACATAGCTGTTTTTTGAAGATCATTTATAAACAAAGTGTAGCCCTCCTAATATTTTTACTAGTAATGGCAATTAGTTCTGAAACAATTATTGATTAGAATGAGAGGGTGTGGCTTCTGAATACACATCTACAGTAATAATAATAATGACAACAACAACAACAACAACNGGAAGGATATTGCAAAATCTCCATTCTCACCCCACTCCTGGGGGAAGGATACTGCAAAATCTTCATTCCCACCCCACTCCTGGGAGAAGGATACTGCAAAATCTCCATTCGCACTCCACTCCTGGGGGAAGGATACTGCAAAATCCCAATTCCTACCCCACTCCTGGGGGAAGGATATTGCACAGTTTAGACTTCAGACAAAATAAAAATAGGAGTTCCCAGTCTCCTCCTCATTGTTGGGCCACAGAAGGAGAAAAGAAGAACACACAAATTTAAAGCTATCTGTAGATGATATTTATTTTGCTAAATGGTAATTTGGGATTAGAAACAAGTGTAATCATAAATGCTATTTCAGTTTAATTTATCATTTCTATAGATTATTAAACTAACAAATAATGTACTTATAATGTATTCATATCATATTATGCGGTAACCAAAATAAATTATTTAACTTATTAACAGAAAGTCCTACCTATCTACTCTAAAATAAATTTGGTTAAGTTTAATAGTAATTTATTTTGGGAGATGGGTAATAAGAGAATATTTACATTGGATGAAACACAATGAATGAAAACATAAAAAGCGAGAAAATAATTTCTAAAATAAATCTCTCTTTTTTGGTCCTTATTTGCTCCCAGTAGCAAAATATTGTCTTAAATTGCTGATTTAAAACTTATGTACATTAATTTCTACATCCAAGTTTAATGTTTTTAAAATGTACCAGCACAGTCAAATTTTTAAGGTATGATGTTTGCGCAACTTTCAGTGGATCTAATGATAGCCAGCATAGATTCAACAAGAAATTTAATTTATTTTCAAATAAAGGTGGCTGAATTTAAAATTCCAGTAGAAAATGTCTGTTCTACTCTATTGAAAAATAAGTTACTTTGTGATTTGATTCAGAAAACTGAGCTAGCTAGACAAGAATCAGCTTGCAAGAGGTTGATGGTACAACTTCTTTTATATCTTGACAGTCAATTCAAAGCCCATTCAAATTTTCATTCAATCAGGAAAAATAGCCCCTTTATACTTGTTCAGTATCCTGTATAAAATTAGTTTCTGAGTTCTTGTCAAATTTCAATGTGATGCATTTTCCACTACAGTTATTTCTGTCATTATTTCTCTAGCAAATTTGATAAAAAGACCTGGGTCATAAAAGGTTTAACCTACATTCTCCTTTATTCTAACCAAGAAAGATATTTTCCCAACAAGATTCTGTTCCCAACCCCCATAAGAGTTAATATATGGATTGCTGAAAGGAGATTTTTTTTCTTAGCTTTACTCTACTACGAAAAAAGGAAAGGAAAGAATAAAAAAATACAAACATCTATTTTAATATCTTTCAAATACAGATGTAAATTAGCAGGATAGCATAACTCCAGATATAATATACAATATATGATTTTAAAAAGGGAAAAAAGTTTAGTTTTCCCAAACACTTCAAATGATGTTATGAACTTATGAACTGTGAAAGAAAACAAGTCAATATAGTTCCATTGACCTGTTTTGCACAATCAAGTGAACCTTTATTTGTTTAGATTTTTTGTGCCCCCAATGTATAAATTTTAAATAAATGAATAATATTTAGAATTATTTAATCTTTGCCCTTCTAATAGATTAAACTGAGATATTTAAGCTATTCAAAAGATAATATATTCACAATACATTGCAATTATATAGTGCTTTAAGGCAACATATTCATAAATTGCAGATACAAGCAATTTCAACTACTGTAGTCGGTCTTGATCTGAAACCTAATTCATTGGCATCAACTCAATAGCACATCACTATCTATTTTGATCACCCAATAATTTTGATTTCTTATTTCTTATTCTCCCCCTTTCTCCGTACTTTGAGCTCATTCTTTCCCTGTGTTTTAAAAAGAAGTTTTGTTTAATCACAGGGACCCAAATTTTACTTGTTGTGGCTTCAAACATAATAAATAATCAGATATAAATAAATAATCTCTATATCAATGCTCCTTTTTGCTCAGATGAGCATTATTTGCTTTGAAATTTGCTAGCTTCCCCTTAGATAGAAAGGAATAGTCATATGGGGCATAGAGTCTAGCACTTCACTTGATATGTTAGTGGGCTATTGGAGGCCAAGGAAGCTGAAACTCCAGATTTACATTGTACTTTATTTACTATTTTATTTCTGGTAGTTTTGTTGATCTTCTAGTATTGTTATTGATAACTGTACATATTGATTGTTTGCAGGTATACATTGTGACAGTGTATGCGCTGAAGGACTTTGGGGTCCAAACTGTTCATTGTCCTGTTACTGTAAAAATGGAGCGTCATGTTCTCCAGATGAAGGAATCTGTGAGTGTGCACCTGGTTACAGGGGTGCTACTTGTCAAAGAAGTAAGTTTCCTATTCCTAGTTTATTATGTTTATAATACTAACATATAAGGAAACTATTTTATGATAGAAAAACATTGCTACAAAATGATATGCTGAGTTAGTCATCTAACTACTTTTTCATATGGAAATCTATCATATAAATAATCCAATGCTAAAAAGAACTATAGTTATGTATTTATACACACATAAACACATATATACACCTAGAAGAAATGCATTAATTGCCTTCTGTTAAATTAGATAAATTATTCAGAATGATACAATACCCACAGGAAAGATGATGGGAAAATGTGTTTTATTTGGTAGCTCCATCCTGGGTTTTATAACAATTATGAATTATTTATCCCCTGTTAAATTGCATATTTTTGTAGCTACTTGCATTAGCAACAGAAATAACAATAGCACTTGGGCATATATGCTACTCCATAGTGCTTTACAGCAGCAGCCCCCAACCTTTTTGGTGCCAGGGACCAGTTCCGTGGAGGGCAATTTTTCAGTGGAACAGAAGTGTGTAGTTTTGTATGCTACCTGGATTCCACACATGCGTGGATGGAGTTTTGTTCATTTGCATCAGAGGTGAGTTCCTGCCAGTTCTAACCTCTTCTATAGAAGAGGTTCCACAAATCTATTGTGCCATTTAGGACCGGTTTCAGCTCCCTCTCCCTGCCCATCCACACCATGCTTGCCCTGCCCGCTGATTGGCTGGCTCACAAATTGCCCTGCCTGCCTCTAAGAGTCCTATCTAAACCTTAAAGTCTTAAAGCTGTGAAGTTTGAACACCCGGGGGGTTATTTTTCTAAAGGGTTAGGGGTGCAAGGGTCTTGTAACTTGACAGCTTTAAGACTTGCGTGCTTCAAATGCCAGAGTTTCTGAGCCAACATTTTGGNACTCTTTTGGTGAAGATAGAAAAATAATTTGCATTCTGCAAATAGTTTATTGGGATTTGAAATGGTCTCTCAGTTCCAAATTCAATATTGCCAATTCGTGGATAATAAATAAGCAACAGAAATATGTCAAGATTAATTATATTTTAATATTTTGAGGAATATTAAATGTATATAATGTATTTTTATGTTGCTTTTATTAATGCTTGATTCCTTTTTTAATATGTTGGAAGGGTTTTTATCCTTAGGCAGGGTAGAAACAGTTTAAATAGATTCTAGTTGAACCTTCAAGACTAACCAATATACTGAAGCTGAATAATTTATGGTCCAGAACCCATTGGATGAGATGTGGGAGGAAACCATTTCATGCATCCAACACAGTGGACTCTGATTTATAAAAGCCAGAATGAATGTTCTCAGGATATTTTTATAATAGATTATGACAGGAAATATGAGAAAGACTCTCAAGAAAGAAAACTCTGGTAACAATGTGTAAGAAAATGCAAATTTCAAATTCTTACTCCATTATGACTTAGAATCAATAGCTGTCACAATTATTTTCCTCTTACCATCCTATCACAAGTAAATAGATCTGACGACAAAATTGCTTCGAGTTGATTTGGGAAAAGGTGAGATAAAGCTACAATGAATTAATCAGCAGTCTGTGCCAAAAGTTGCTTTGAAATTGTCTAGATCATATATTGGAATATAGAGAAGGCAGCATATTTTCCCAAAGCAATCCAAAGAATGAACATTTCAGCAACTCATCTGAATACAATATTCTGTAAAAGCAAAAACAGGGTAGTGATCAATTAAAAAAAAAGGAATAGTTAATTATGAATAGAGAAAGCAGGACCATAAGCTACTTTTGTATATAACTTACATTAACTTTGTATACCGGTAATAAATATATTTGATTGTTCAAGGCATAAGCTCATTATTTGAATCTAAGAAATATAAGAATATTGACTAGGTAATTGTGCACCACATATAGCAACAATATACAATCTCTAATTCAAGCCTAGTATTTTGCCACAAAATAGAGCAGGATTCAGGAGACAATTTGGAAAATATTTAATCAAAAATAGGTAAAGGATATTTAGCAAATACATAGAAACTTTTACCATTATAGCTTCCTTACCTAGATTAGAAATTCCTATAAAGTAGAGAAATATTTTTGCTGTTTTTAAATTGATAAAATAAGAAAAACCTATTGGCATTTACAAATAAAAATATTTTCTTAAGTAAAGAAATTATTTATATACTTTTTCCTTAGTTTTACAGATTAACACTTGTAACCCTATTAGAAACATAAATATCTCACCATTCCTCTTATAATTAAGAGAAACATTTTAATTAAACGCTTTCTCTCTGTGAATGTGTGTCTTATTTTTAGTTGTGAAGATCTTTGTCCACCTGACAAACATGGGCCACAGTGTGAAGAAAGATGCCCATGCCAGAATGGAGGAGTTTGTCATCATGTAACAGGAGAATGTGCCTGCCCTCCTGGATGGATGGTAGCTATAATTTCTATAAAATTTCATCGCTTTTGACTTTGAAATTTCATGGGTATGTTTTAGGACAAGGGTGTCAAACACAATTTCATTGAAGGTGGCATCAGAGTTGTGTTTGACCTCAGGGGGCCAGGGTGGGCATGGCCAGCTCAACGTCACTTGCATCGGGGGAATCTATGGTGGTCTGAGCTCTCTGCCAGCAAAAATGGGCTCCCGAGTTCCATTGTCTGCTGCGACAGCTTCCTGTAATCTTCTGTCAGCAAAAACAAAGCTCGGGAGGGCTGCCTGCAGCCCTAGCAAGCTCCATTTTTGGCTTCAACAGCCTCTGCCAGCATTTTTGCTGGCAGAGATACTGTAATTTCCAGTCCCAAGGGCCAGACCTAAGCACCCCATGGGCCAGATCCAGCCCCAGGACCTTGAGTTTGACACCATTTTTGCTGGCAGAGATATTGTAATTTTTTTCCAGTCCCAAGGGCCAGACCTAAGCACCCCATGGGCCAGATCCCCCGGGCCTTGAGTTTGACACCTAGGAGTTTTAATTCTAAGTTAAATGCAGAGAAAAAAAGGGAAATGATTTGTTTAAACCTATTACCATTATGTAGAATTGAAATCTTGGATTAGCTTTCTTTTACAGCATAAACATTCCAACAAATTAACAATCTAACACTCATGAGAAAACATACAGTATATAGTATTGGGAAACTAAATTATTATTTTTTTGGCATTTTTACATTTCATGCAAACTCATAATGCAGTCCTATGAATAAATGTGAAGTTCTGTTTTCAAACAGGGCACAGTCTGTGGTCAGCCTTGCCCAGAAGGACGTTATGGAAATAATTGTTCCCAAGAATGTCAGTGTCACAATGGAGGGACATGTGATTTAGCTACTGGCCAATGTCATTGCAGTTCAGGGTATACAGGAGAACGGTAAGAAGGCAATTCTTCAGAGCACTCAATCATCATGATTGTAGAAAAGAGGAAAGTTGAATGAATTTCCAATATTATACAAACTTGATTATTGTTCTAGTCAAAACTAAACAAAGCTGGTTCAATTTTACTTAAGAAGCAAATTGGAATTCAATCACTGTATATCACTAAATGATTTTATTTAGCTATGTTTTCATTGATCATATTTTTAAAATATTTGCATTTTTGGGGTCTTTTTTTCGCATTCTGAATAGTTTGGTCACGTCACTTCAATTTATTATATGGAAAAAAAACACTGCCCCATTTCATTTTTAAAAAACATTTATTCCTATTTTATTGTTCATTAATGAGTGACTGGTTTATGTGAGAACATAATTCATGTGAAGAGTCCCATGGTTGTGAACAAAGTTGTAAGCACATTTTCTTCCATCAATTCTTTTTTCTGAATATCATCACTTCACTGCCATTTCCCCCAGTTCCTATGGGGCACAATAAAACTCTTTCATCCCTGTAGATGTTAGGGGCTTACTGTCTTATTTTTTCCTATATTTAATCATCTTGGTATGATAACATGAATCATTTTCATAAGGGAAAAGGAGAAAATTTTGTCCCAGAAGTTTTTAAGTGGACTTTATGCTAGTAAATTAATTTTCTATCCTGCTACTTCTTATGTTTATGTGATTTGTGCAGAATAACTTTACACTGAATTTGTTTTAGCTATTGAATTATGAACTTTTTGTATTTTCTAAAATCTTGTATAATATGTGTGTTGTTTGAAAGGAATGTGTAGCCAGCTGGCTATAAGCCTGGCCTCTTTTCCTAACCTTCAATTATCTCTACATAACGTATTTTATGTTATAAAGATCAACATCTAATGACACACAGATGTCTGGGGTGTTCCTCTTTCAACTTTCACAGGAAATATTATGTTATCTAGTTTGTCCTACTGGGTGTGATTTAGAGTTGGACACTTAAGTGAATAAATCCTCACATAATAAATCAAATGGCACTTTGTAGAAAAAGCATTTGCTTAAATATCATAGTAAAATTCTGTTAAAATGTTTGGAAATATAGTGTAGAAAATTGGCAAAGAAAATGTCCTTCACTAAAGCAATCAGGAACTGCCTACTTTATATGAAATTTTAAAAAGCTGTTCTTATATATATTTAGACTATTTTTCTATGTAGCTCAATTCTTACCTAGCTCAATATTAGCCACAGCAATAGCATCCACTGCATTTTATATAGAAATGAGATGTTCAGAATTACCTTATTGGTGTCCTTCATAATGGCCTGTAAGNCTTTTGGTGATGGAGTCTTTATGAGAGAAATTGGCTGACAAAATTAGTGGGCACAGAAGAGACTAGTATAGAAAGCATATGCTTAAGGCAAATAGTTCAGAAGTGGGGGAGACCTACTGTTTCCTTCCAACAGTATCTTTCACTGACAACGGGATCATTTAGTGAGGTCCAATCTTCTGTCCTCTACTAGCAAAAATAATTGGAAGCCTTAGAAGAAATGTTCATAGATTGCTTACCTATCTCACTGACCAATTGTAGACTTAGCTCATTTCTTATGTATGCATACAAGATGGAATTGAAGGACTTTTTAAGTCTTTGCTTGCTGAGTTTCTGCTGCTCTTCAAGGGTAGTACAGACTGAGGAAACTGTTGAGTGCAAGCAGCATCTTCCTGGATGCCTGGCAAGAAGAAATGTCATTATCTTTGCAACAGAAGTGAGAGGGTGGCAGAAGCTCATGTTCAAAGTGGCCATTGGTTAGTAGAACTCAATGAATCTTTTGCACCTATCTTCAGATGTGTTCTGCATATGGCGGTCAATAGCAATAGTCCAAGCAAAACTTGGACTTATATACAGCTTCATACTGCTTTTACAGTCCTCTCTAAGCAGTTTACAATCAGCATTTTGCCCCCAACAATCTGGGTGATCAATGCTAATGGGATGGATGAATGGAACAGGCTGAATGGGGTGGAGGGACTGGGAAAGTTAGTTAAGAGAACATGACTTAATAGTGTTGCATCCCCTTTCTTCCAAGTCAGTTGTTTCTCTCCTAGGTCCAGTTCTGGACTGTTGTCCATCTTGGTCTTCATCTACTCTTGGTAAATGATAATGGTTCTTATTTCCTTACAAAATGAGCAACTGATAAATTGGAAGAAGTGAATGTGCCATACTGAATGTTAAGGTTGACTTTTAAACCAGGAATATCCATTTTATATCACTCCCGTGAAAGGAATAATATTTAAAGAAAGAAGTATCCCTTTACTTTAAAAAGCCTTTGGAATTATTTCCATAAAATTCTGATTTTTGAAAATATATGTATGACTTGGCAAGCCTTACTCATCATTGCCTTATCCACAGCAAATTGTTCATTATAGAGGAGATTAAAAAAACCCAAGTAAACCAAAATTTTGATAGTCTCATTGTAGTCTTCTCACTTGCTATAATTTTAAACATTTTCTTTAAAAATTGAATAATTTTTTTATGCACAATCTCTCAGACAAAACTCTTATTTATTCTGCATATTTTTATATTTCAATAAGGATAACAGATTTGTTTTGTTTCAGCTTGCCCTCCTTCTCACTGGGGCCCAAACTGTATTCATACATGCAATTGCCACAATGGAGCTCACTGTAGCGCTTATGATGGAGAGTGTAAATGTACACCAGGATGGACTGGTCTCTATTGCACACAAAGTGAGTTAAACATGTTTGCCTTGGTAAATGTATTCTGCATTTCAGAAACAGTAATATCAACATTAAAAATTAGCGGAGCTCCTGTTGGGTGACAAAATAATCTATATGAGATTAGGAATTTTTAATGCCCTCAAGTAATATTATTCATAAGTCAGAATGTGAGAAATGGCATTGTATGTATGTATGTATGTATGTATGTATNTTTTTTAGCAAATTGAGTCAGCAACTTGCCCCCACAGTCCAGGTCCTGATTCTTGTGTATCTATGCACTCTCCTCATAATTTATATTTTTTTCCCAACTGTGCTTCTTTTATTAATATGCTTTTTCTGAAAGTATCCATAAAACCTTACCAAAGAATGGACATTTTCTGTGATCTATTATGTCTTTATATTATCATGCAATCATACATTGTGAGAGGACACATATCCTCACTCTGAATGCTGGAAAAATATGACTTTATTATTATCATTTTAATTCTTCTAAGTATTTTATGTTAGTTGTTACAAATTGAAATCTGACTCATAAATTTATGTAGTAGTCTAAGCTATAGAAATTGGTACCAAGCTATAGAAATTGGTACTTCTTAATTAACAAAACAATCTGAGTGATTGATGTTGAACCATCCCTTTATCTATGGGATGTTTAATCCATCAAATTTACTCCCACATCAACCCCATTGAATTGAACTGAAGCTATGCAGGAGTTTGCAAGACTGACAACAATCTCTAATGACTTTCAGAGTTAATCATTCAGTTAATGCTGAAGCACTGTAAATTAAATGAAGTAAAGGCATTATAACATAGACGTAGCCTGGAGACTCTGTTTATTATATATGAGGCAGGATAAATTCTTAGTATATTTGGGACAATATCACATTAGAAAGGATAGTTGCACTAATTATGTTTATACAACTGCAGCTAACTTGCATGAAGAGAGAAGGGAGAAATTATGGGTGGGCATTTTTTTTTACTGAAAATTTGATGTGACTAAAATGCTTTGTTTTTCCTTCTTAAGGAACCTCTTTCAAACATGTCAGGCTGGTTAGAATTCTAGACAATTCTAAACATGTAAAGGCAAAAGTTAGTCTTGTCAATGTTAATTGCTGTTTAATAACTTGAAACATTTGTTAATATATTGATTGGTCCTTAAAGGAATGCCAGAATATTAGAGCTATAAAGAAATAAATTCTACCCAACAATTTATTTCTTCCTCAGTCAATTCAAATTTCTCTCTGAAGAAAGGACTGGTGTATTGCCATAAGAGTGAATAGGATTTTTTTCTTTAAATCATGAATGGAACAAAAATAAACAGCAGCGTGCAGCTGTCTGCACTTGCTCTTGTACAGAGAAAAATATTTAAACTACCGAATTGTAGTGACAATTATGACAAGGAAACATTAAATTATGAACATAATGGTTTTATATACAGCGACACTAATAAAAATAACAGCAATTTTAGGTAAAAATTCATTGTGTATCAAGCTGTCTTTAAATCTCAAATAGTTATTACCTTGAAGGGAAATCACTGGAAGTTGAAAACAAATCCTGAAAGAAGCAATAGTATATAATTTTCATAATGTTGGCCAGAAAACAAAATGTATGTCCCTAATGTCAGTAGTGACTCAAATGGATGAGGAGACCAGCTTCATTGGGAGAAGATTTAATACTTGAAACTGTATGAAACAAATCTGCATAAATTAGAACCTCTCCAGTATTTCCAAATCTCTCCAAATGAATTTAGTTCAGTTCTTTCAGATTAGATAAGTATGTGTGGAAGGTGAATATGATAGCATCTTTCTTCTTTTAGTTTGTTCTCCTGGATTTTATGGACATCGCTGTAACCAGGCCTGCCCCCACTGTGTTCACAGCAGTGGCCCATGCCATCATGTGACAGGACTATGTGACTGTTTACCTGGTTTCACTGGAGCTCTCTGTAATGAAGGTAGGATCACCAAATAATGCCAACAAAGGTTCGCAGCTTTGTCCTTGTAACACATTTATATGCTAGGCTTGTACAAATCATTGTAAGAATTGCTGTACTGAGCAACATAGCCTTAATTAGTAAATGATACATAAAGGTAAAGGTTCCCCTTGTACATATGTGCTAGTTGTTCCTGACTCTAGGGGGCTGTACTCATCTCCATTTCAAAGCCGAATAGCCAGTGTTGTCCAAAAATGTCTCCGTGGTCATGTGGCCGGCTTGACTACATGCCGAAGGCATACGGAACACTGTTACCCTCTCACCAAATGTGGTTCCTATTTTTCTACTTGCATTTTTACATGCTTACAAACTGCTAGGTCGGCAGAAGCTGGGAAAAATAATGGGAGCTCACCCTCTTTCGCAGCAGGATTTGAACCGCTGAACTGCTGACCTTTCTGATTGACAAGCTCAGTATCCTATTATTTACAGTCAAAAAATTGGATCCAAATGGTGCATTTTCAAGAATCATCTTCCATGTTATATATAAAATGTATATCTAAATACATATAAGTATTCTTTAAAAATCATGGCTCACTCTGTGGCAATCACTATCATCATTGTCGTCGTCATCATCATCATCATCTGGAGTCTGGTAAAATCTTTCCCAACTACCATATGATGGAGTGAACTTCAGCTCATGAAAGCTGATTGTTAATCAGAAAAAATACTTCCAGACCCTTTTATTTTTTGGTTACTTTGTACTAACAAAAAATAAGTCATGGAAATAGTTTTCCATATATGATATTTTACTTACTGAAATAAGATTGTTGAGTGCTAAGTGAGAACAAGGACTAAAGAGAAGCAGCATGGTGAATATACCACACTGAAAAAGCAGGGAAAAAGAGCAAAGATATAAACAGAAGATATATAAACAGAGTGAATCCTGGATAATGAGAGAATGTGAGAAGTTTGCAAAGATAAAGAGAAGGAAACCAGAGAAATGGATGGGAAAAACAAAGGTTGTAGAAAAAAAAGATAGCTACTGACATCTGACTATTAATATAAAAGTATCTAAAAAATAAAAAGTAGCAATAGCTATTATATATGCCCCATAGTGCTTTAGAGAACTCTTTGGGTGATTTTGAACATCAGCATATTGCCCCCAAAATCTGGTTCCTCATTTTACCAACCTCAGAAAGATGGAAGGCTGAGTCGACCTTGAGCCTGTCAGGATCAAACTCCAGGCTGTGGGCAGAGTTAGTCTGCAATATTGCATTCTAACCACTGTGCCACCAAGGCAGAAGTATAAAAGCATAAACATTCATGACCTCTGTATTTTATTTTTATAGTTTGTCCCAGCGGAAGATTTGGAAAGAACTGTGCAGGGGTTTGCACATGCACAAATAATGGAACTTGTAATCCAATTGACAAGTCTTGTCAATGTTATCCTGGCTGGATTGGTAGTGATTGCTCCCAGCGTAAGTACTAGCATTTCCTTCTTTGGGAAGTTTCTATTTGGGCCATATTTCATTAGAGTTTAATTCATAAAATCTTTTTCCACACAAATAAAATGGTTAAAGCAGCATGGCTAATTTATCTCACTATATTTACATATCTAATAGTGTGTGAGATGTATGCCATGTGCATTATCCACATTTGAAAAAAATCAAACTTTACAACATAGCCACTAATATAAACTCTATAAATAATTCAGTAGCTCTTAAGTATTTGCTTTACAAATAAATAAAAAACATTCCTGTATTTTATCCATGGAAATGTTCACAAAGAAGAAGCTGGAAAATATGGAACCATCCTTGATAAGTGTATAAAGACAAGCACAGCTGTAACAGACTAAAACAGTGTGGGTCCCCCCACCCCCTGCATACCTAGTGTTTTGGGGAGAAGTCAAGTTTCTCAAAGATACAAGTTCTTTCCTATATGTAGTCTCACATGTTTTCTGAAAAAACATGTACTTTTATGTGTTCTCCACCTACTGGCCATCTGCTAACTAATAAGTAAAATTCAGATAAAGACCAGAATGGTCAGAGAACAAGATGGTTGCCAATTAGTGTACTGAAGTGCTGACAGGCTGATGATACTAGAGTTTGGACTGTAATGAAGAAGTAGCTGGCATACTGAGCTTTGCACACGTCCATTCACCTAACGAAAATTTAAGATTTAATCTAGTGAAAGTACAGTAAGGCACAGCTAAAAGGAGAAGGGGGGGCCAATAAAAAGAAAGTGTCAGTGGAGAACAAAGTTAGGGAGAAACAGTCTACAACTTGAAATGAATGAAGTTTAGTTCCAACTGACTCACAAAGAGAGAAATAGATACAGTAACAATTTGTGGGATAAGAAAACACTGTGTAGAGACTGAAAATGAAAATAATTTAGAAAGGTGGGAAAACTGGGAAATGTTATTTCAGAAGAATGTAGTCCCAGTAATTGTGTACACAGTAATTGCCATCCTCCTGTCGCCAATGTTTTTGATAAGTAGAATCCCTTTATTTAAAGAGGGTTTTTTGTTGTGTGTGTGTGTGTGTGTGTGTGTGTGTGTGTGTGTGTGTGTGTGTGTGTGTGTGTGTGTG